AATCAAAAGATTCTTTGGCAAAATTTTCAAAATCTGGTTTTACGTCAGTTAAAGCCGTTCGTAACAGATCTGTTAAATGTTGGTTAGTCAATAGGTAATTTCGTTTAAAATCTCCAGTAAAAAATGTCCAACAGCAAAATTCCGGCGGAATGTCATCTATGCTCTCACAAGAGAAAAGTATCCAAAATATTTAGTACACAGAAAAGAAAATTTGCAGAAACTTTCAAGTTAGACGAACAGCTGTAAGAAATTTTGTTTACATTCAAAAGTATAAAATTGAAAACTTAAAAAACAAAACCTGAATTCTTATCCTGACACAGTTCACTGACTAAACGAATAATTACTTACTTGTTACAAGTTTAATTATTCGCTGTTTTTGATCAGCTGTTTTCTTGCTGGCAAATTGCAGTTGGCAAAAATTGTTCCAGAAGAAACTAGCAGATTTCCCTTAAAATGAAATGATATTTTTATCTTTCAATTTCCCCTAGTTTGCAAGTCTTTTGTTTACACAAACACAAAAAGCTGATAGTTTTTATAACTTACAATAATTATCAGGTATTGTGTACGGTATTTTGACTTACGAATTGTAGATTACAAAGACCCCAGTTATACGTTGTACCAAAAATTGAAAATATATGGCACGCAGCTGTTTTCAACAGCGGATATTGTAAATTTGGTACTTGTTGCCGGAATTCAAACAATGACAAAGCTTTATGTTGCATTTCCAGTGCCTTATTTTCTTTTAATTCCAAAAACTCCAACTCTTCGTCGCTTTTCTTAAAAAGGAGTATTTCGGATATTGTAAATTCATCCTCAATTATTTTACATAAAAAGGGATTATACCCAAACGTACATTTAAATTAATTTCAAATCTTTCTTCAAAATCTGCTTTTAAATCATGTGTGATATTTTTTTCTAGCCATAGAAAATTATGAAATATTCTTTTTTTGAGATCATGAATAAAAATACGTAGTTTAGCCTTGTAAGACGTGTTTTGGCTTCAAAACTTTAAATAATTTGCGACAAATCAAAAACATTTTTATTCTTTCCTTGTAGAGACAAATTCAAGTTTTGCAAATGTTCCATCATATCGGTAAAGAACATAAGGTCAGAAAGCCAATTTTCATTCTCCAATTGCGGGTAATGTTCCGGTATCAATTTACGTATGTGTATATAAAAGGACTAAAATAAAAAAAAAACAACACAATGAAAAATAATGTCCAGCAAAGAAATATGTATTTTAAAAAGTAAAAAGAGCCAACATGTTCTAGGCAAAGTTAAAGTAGAGCCGCACTTTGCTACGCAAAGAGCCGCGTTTGCCCACCCAGTAAAAAATCAATAATCGCTTTTAGTGGTAACGTGACAGTGGTAGAAGACATAGCGTTATAATGCCTCCGATTTTTTCGCTTCTTTTAGGCATTGCCGGTAATGCAAAGTAGAATGTCCTATAATTTATTTTTTAATTCGCTTTCTGCTTCATTTCGGGGAATGCAAAGTAGAATGCTGCATCGTAGTCAGCTGAAAAATAGAATGAGTATCCAAAAATTGTTTTTCTACCGTTACTTTCTGTGGAAATTTGTCTCGCATAAAAATCATGTTTTGCTTTCAATTTGCAGCGGAGTTGAAGTCAGTCAGTCAATGAAGTGAAATACAAGAGAGGGGAAGTACAATTTTAAGCTTAATTAAATATGCATGTATGTACATACCGATTTTTAAGTAAAATCATATGTATGTATAAAAACTGATTTATAAAAATTTTAATTAACTTTTTTCTTTTAAGACATTTTCTGATTTCAATTTAATTTCAATAAGTATGTACTTATCTAGTAGAGCTCGGGCAATTCGGTTAATCGATTAACCGAATTATTCGAATCTGACTGAAGTCGACTACTGTTAATCGGTTAGCAATATTCGAGTAGTCGAAAGCTGCCGACTATTCGGATAACCGTTCACTTTAGATTATTCGGTTAACCGTTCATTTTCGGTTAATCGAATATTTTAAGTTCGAGTTTTTTTTTGCATTTACAGATACATATACATATTTGAAAAGTCTTGTTACATTCGTAGTACATATATAAGATGGCATGTGCAAAATTAAGGCAAACTTTTTTTGCAAGAATGTGCGCTAATTATTGAAATGTTATTGCGAAATATTTTAGAGACAATGGCTAAAGCAATACCTACCTCTCATTTTCGCGATTTTTGTTATGGATTTTTGTTAAATGGTTGTTCAGTGAGGATGTGGAGGAGGTGTAGCACAAAACTGCACCACATATGGAACATGTTACTTCCTTTTCGTCCTCTGTTTTTTCGAAAAAATCCCAAACCCAGCACCTTTTGCGTCCGCTCATTTTTTGTATCTGAATATACATACATATGTGTGCATGTATATATTTAAATAAATTTTTTTTCATTTGTCAAAGAAATTTCAATGAAACTTCGGTTGCTGAAATTCGATTTGCTACAATGCTCGAGTAGTCGAAGTAAAGCAACTATTCGAATAATCGAAGGCGGGCGACTATTCGAATACCATTAACCGACTAATAAGCATGCGAACGGTTACGAATCGAATAATCGGTTAACCGATTAGTCGAATAGTCGGATAATTTTACGAGCCCTATTATCTAGGCATTCTGCATTAGTTTCTCTGTAAGGCTTTCTTTATTCGCTTCTCTGTATTATCTTTATCCGTGCGTTCTCCCTTCGTTTAAAGGCAATGCTGTGGGTAAGGGCTTACCACCGATGACATTACCATGTTAAAATAATGCCTTCTTGTCGCCTAGCTCGTTTCCACTTTCGTTTCTGTGGTAATCGTGTGTTTTTTGCTGGGTCCCATCGCCTAGTTCGTTTCAACTTTCGTTTCTGTGGTAATCGTGTTTTTTGCTGGGCACCGTTGTTATATAGTGACGCTCCAACATGTTATACATATTATTATTATTAAATATACATATTATTATATATGTATGTATATATTATTATCATGTTATACACCTACGTCATCAGAGAGGATATTGAGCAGCACGGCGTATGAGTAACAAATTAAAAATAAGTTACCAAAGAATGTTACACATACCAACTATTACATCGTTTTCAGTGTTAAATTGTGGTATAGAAACTATATTGTTTTTCTGCATAAAATATGATCTTAGTTATCGAAAAATCCTTTTACACGAAATTTCAAAATTGGTGAAAAATGAAATTTTCGAGGGCCGGTAGCGACCTCTAAATTTAAGTTTTTCAAGCCCATTTTGGAGCAGGCAAATATACGAAATCTCACTGCTTGTCGGAGATCCGAAAACTTTTTTTTTATAAAAAATATATATATATAAATCAACATTTCAAACGTTGTACAGAATTCACAAAAAATGGTAAAATTAAAAAAAAATGTGTTATCAAAATTTTGTAGCCCATTAAATTTTAGTATAATACTGTGCAAGTTTCAATTGGCTTAAATATACCCTTGATTTTTTAGAATTTTTATCGCCGAGGGTGTTGAGCATTTCCTCCCATATAAAATGATTTCGTTAATGCTTGTATGGAAGAAAATGCTCAATATGCTCGGCGAAAAAAATCCTCAAAAATCAAGGGTTGATTTTAGCCACTTGACACTTTTAAATTTTTATAGTTAAATTGATTGGGCTACAATTCGAATGGAGGTTTGCTTTGCTTTAAACAGGCACGCGCATCACTCAAAAACTAGTGCATAGAATCGAAAGCAGGGCTCGAATCCTAACATACGTTATCGTATTACTCGTCACGTAAAAACATATTTTTCGCATTATGACATACGTGAACGTACTCTTTGTCTCATTCAGCTTATACTGCCTGATGTATCACGTAATTTTCGGTCGTATCGTTTTCAATCCGTGCACGGATGTTACGATTCGAGCCCAATTTTCATCATGCATTGCTAGAGGTCTAACTTAAAATATTGGAAAAAATAATAAGAGAGTGGCCACCTGTTTGAAATTTGCAGTTTCAGTAAATGGATAAGATAAAGTAAATATTTCAATATGTCTGTCAAAAGAAAGAGATTTAAGAAGGCTTGGAATCGAAAATATTTTTGTGGAAGGTTTAAAAATTCCAATTTGATTTAATTGATAAGATAAATTAAATATTGCAATACGGGAATCAAACTAATAAGGTTTAGGAAAGTTTACTGCTAAAATATGATGTGTTTTATGAGGGCTGCCACCTGTTTGAAAAAATTTATTGAATTAATAAATTGATAAAATAAATGAAATATTACAATACGGGTATCAAACTTAAGAAGTTTAAGAAAGTTAACTGAAGAAAATATTTTTGGAGCGCGTTCCCAACTATTCGAAAAATTGTATTCAGTTAAAGCGTTAACTGCTAGTTAACTACTGAATTAATACACCTTTGAAGAAAGTGCATGATATGTAGAATCGAGTTATACGAGAATAAATTTAATTCTCAGGATTAAATGCCTTCGAAAATATATTAACTAAAACCCTTACTCATTAAAAAGAAAATATGCTTCATAAATCGAAAATTTGTATGAAAATCTCACTTCATAAAGCTTCCCGATTCTATTTTATTTATTTAAGTAAAGCTATAAGAGTTTTAGGAGGGGTTAACAAAATACATACTTCAAAGGCGCAAGCCGGGAATTTACTAGTTTTTAATAAAAGTAGAGTAAAATTGTACGACAGATATTTACATGGAAATTCAGTATTTTGTCATCTGATTCATAAATAATATAGGATATGTGTCAAAAAGTCCATACAAATGTATACCTGCTGCCGGTAGACAAACAAAAACGCTTTGCGGTAGATTACGCTATCGCTTTAATGAAATTATCTCCACACTATAGCTAACGTCGCGACGCGTCGGGTGTCGCACACCTTCATATGTAATTAGCCCGCTTGCACAGTACTCTTACATACATAATAATATTATTTGAATACAAGTAAAATTCTAAGCTAAAAAGGTTGGCATACATGTGTTAATGACTATACACATTCTTTTCATTGCAGCTCCTCTCCAGCGCCAGTATCCCTCCATCTCCAGCCAGGTCAATATTTTTCCCTTCGTCCTGAGGTTATGATCAATGGCCGAAGATCGTGAATTGATCGAAAGGTATGGCAAGCCTGTGCCATACGATCGAAATTTTCGTGGTCCGGAATGGCGTAATCGAAGCTGTACAGATGTGCCCTGCCTTCTCATCTTCATTATCTTTTTAGCTGGTTGGGGCTTCATCGCACAGTATGCAGTACGAAATGGAGATCTCAATAAATTAGTTGTGCCAACCGATTCATTCAATCGCAAATGTGGCATTGACTCATCGGTGCTGGATAAGAAGTATTTATTTTTCTTCGATTTGGGCAAATGCATTGATCCGGTTGTACCGCTCACAGGCTGTCCCACGCAGCAAGTGTGCGTCGAAAGTTGTCCCACACAGACTTTCATTTGGGATAGATTGAAGGATAGACTTTCATTTCCAGAGCTTAAAGAACGCCTGATATGCCTCACAGAAGCTGATAAAAACAATTTGCGAGACATAAATGGCATTCAACGTGCCATCGATAACGAACGTTGCGCAAGGTGGTACATGAAGAGCGCACCATTTCTAAATCGCTGTATGTGGGAATTTTCACCGCAAATGTGTGAGCTTATACCATCATTTCTATTGCCACGTAGCAGACGTGCTTCTAATGGTTCACAAAGCGCCAGCTTAGCCAACGGTGATATGAGCGGTCTTATCGATGCGTTGATCGACGATAATTCAAGTTTATCTGAAGTGAAGATGGAAGTGTTAGCCTTGACCGCTATACCTGAGCCAGCTGTAAGAACAAAGCAAGAGCTGGTGGAAGAGCCCGCTATACAATGTCGCCGACGTACTGAACAGGCTGAGACTATCAAGCAGAAGGTGCGTCAAGCGGATACGCGTTTGGCGAAGTTGGTAGGCAACATGGTTGCGCACTTCTACAACGGCACACATGACGCGCAGCAACTTGGAGAAGAGATTGTCGAGGACATAATGAATTCATGGTACGTGGTGCTTATGGCGCTGATGTGCACATTGATCGCCTCTTTGATTTTGATCGCCTTGATGCGCTGGTTCGCTGCACCGATTCTTTGGCTATCGATATTTGGTGTGCTAGTCGGCCTTGGCTTTGGGATCTATTACAGCGTGAAGCAATACCGTTTTTGGCGCGAAACAGCAACGGTGCCCAATCATTCACTTAACTTGGAAGCAGCCGTAAAAAATGTGTTGCAAGAGCCTAGCACTTGGTTGTATTTAAGCATTTTTCTTGCCATCAGTTTTGTCGTTATTCTGCTGTTGGTGATTGTATTGCGTAGCCGCATCCAAATTGCTATTGCGCTAACGAAAGAAGGCAGCAAAGCAGTCTCGAGCATCATCTCAACTGTCTTCTTTCCCATCTTCTCTTGGGTGCTTTTCATTTTGGCCGTCACATATGCTATTGGAGTTGGTCTCTATTTGGGTTCAATTGGCGAACCTTCCTTCCGCATGATACGCCAACTGGACGCCAACAGCTTAACAGGTGTTACCAATGAAAACTGTGTTTGTACTGGTCCGGCGATTGAATATAAAGTAGGCGGACGTTGCGATCCCAAAATCTTCGAGCAGAACTGTTTTAACGCTGATTTCGGGCAGCGTAGTCCCTGCACGCGCACCACTTGTAGTTTCGCGGAAATCGAGCACCCACCCTTCGTTACTTGGTCCATTGTCTACAATGTATTCGGTTTCTTCTGGCTGACATTCTTTATTGCAGCCTTCAGCGACATGGTGTTGGCGCTCACATTTGCCACTTGGTATTGGACTTTCAAGAAACGCGATGTACCATTTTTCACCTTGGGACGCGCCTTCCGGCAGACCATCTTCTATCATCTTGGCACGCTGGCGTTTGGCTCGCTAATTCTTGCTGTATGTCGCATGATACGCATAGCGTTGGAATATCTCCATTCGAAGCTAATAAAATACGACAATGCGGTCACACGCGCAATACTTTGTTGCATGAGATGCTTCTTTTGGCTACTTGAGAACTTCCTGCGCTTCCTCAACCGCAACGCGTATATCATGTGTGCCATACACGGCAAGAATTTCTGTGCCAGCGCCAAAGATGCTTTCAATTTGATTATGCGAAACTTTTTGCGTGTCATCGCTGTGGACAAAGTCACCGATTTTCTGTTCTTTCTATCCAAAATATTGCTAACAGGCGCTGCTGGCGTTGGTACCTACTACTTTGTGGTGCGTAGTCCACATCTCATACAGCTGCACTATAACGCGGTGCCGGTGACGCTTGTCGTGATTGCGGCCTTCATAATGACCACGGTGTTCTTTGGAGTATACTCGATGGCAGTGGATACGTTGTTTCTGTGCTTTCTGGAGGACTGCGAACGAAATGATGGTTCATCTGAAAAACCTTTCTTCATGTCCAAACAGCTGATGCGTATACTGGGCAAACGTAATAAGTTTCCAAGACAACGAAGCATATAAGCGGTTTTTAAAAAACTAAAGATTGTTTGGATTTGAGCTCGATATACCGTTAAGTTTATTTATGAAAAATGTAAATCATGGCACAGAAAGACACTTGAATGGAGTGAAATTACTACATATGTATGTATGTATGTACAAAAGAATGTAAAGTGAGAGACGCTTTCTGATTGTGTTACAATACCGTTTGGTTGATGTTAATATTAGAGAGTTTATGGTAGGATAGCTTATGTTGAAATTTGAAAAGGTTGTGTCGAAACCAATGGCAATATTAAACAGTTATGTACGAGTATGTATACTCAAAAGCTTAATTAAGTGATGTAATATGGAATATAACTATGAATACAATACTTATTTCATGCCAATAAAACAATTTACTACTAATGATTTAAATTTATTACTTACAAACAAATTTGTAATTTAAATTGTTAATTCATTAAAAAAAATCGATATATATATATATATATACATTCATATATAAGTTATGAGTAGCTTTAAGAGCGTACGATTTATTCTTACCGAAGATTATATTGCTTGGTGCTGCTTAAAAGTGATTTGTAGATAATAACACAAAGAACTACGAAAGAGGTTCATAAATGAATGCCAAAATATTTATTATTGCGAACTTATTGTTAATAAGTTTTAGTAATTATGTTCATACACCGATTTTCGATTGAATTCATACTTTATTATTGAATAAAAACATACATTTTATACACATTCATACCTACATTTGTACCAAAATGTATTCAACAAAGTGTGATTGAATTTGACATTGCTCTCAGAAGAGCCATAGAAGAACCATCCTATTAAGTCAAATTGAAAAAAAATTGTATGAATTTTGAATCGCTTGTTTATATTTTTTGGCATAATAGTACCTTAAAAGTTGTCAATCACACCTTGTTTAATACACCTTGATTTGTACATACAGCGTTTTTCTTTTCTTTATTCGTAATTTAAGATCACGGAAATGCTCAAGCTGTTTTAAATAGTTCTCGAATTGAATATATGTTCATTTTAACATGCTCAATATTTTTCTAATCAATCTACATATGTACATGCATATATGTATGTATGTACATATGCTTATACATATATGTAATACCATGCTCGGACCGAAAACGAAAACACTTTGAAAAGGAGTTTTGGGATTGTGGGCTGAAGGCTGTTCGCACCGGCTGTTAATTTCTTACATCCTTTGTTTACAGTTTTGCTACAAAAAAAACAAACCTAAATCTTGTTCTTTCATTTTCTTTTTATTAACAATCATTTTTTTATTCTCATTTTAATTAGACCAGCCAATTAACAATACATAAATCCGAATTGGCATATTAAAGATGATAAAATATGGCCTCCACTTCGATAAATAATCACTATTCCAGACACCGATTGGAATGAGTGGAACGCGAGTTATCAAGTAGTTTTTTTTAGCGAAAACTGGTTTTCGTTTGACAGATTTTACATGGACGAAAACACAAGTTTTAGGTCGAAAACCAGTTTTAGAACGAAAATATGTTTTCGATGTCGGTCCGAACATGGTATAAAACGCAGATCTTAATTCTTCATAATTCGAGTGAAAATTGACTGAAGAGACGGTGAAAACTGGAAAAGTCTGAACAAAAGTCATAATACACGTCCACACATGCTTACGTAATATAAATATATACGCGTGTGTATACAAAAAGTAAATACAAAACAAAAAAACATATATTACATGTATATTGTATTAAATTGTAGCTACAGTAAACTTTTAAAAATGTTTAGCGTTTCTCTTTTAAAAAAATATTATATGGACATTATGATTATGTGTCTATCTTTAACTCAAATGTGGATTTTTAGGATGCAGAAATATAAACAGCTAAACCATAAAAACTAAAAAGATACTGTGAGTTTTTTAAACGATATCTCTTATCAATTTGGAGTTGTGTAAGTACCGACAAAACTGTTGCCTGAATTACTTGTTTTGTTTCAGAGATATTTAATTTAATTTTAGAAGTTGCATGTAAATACACGTGCCATGTTAAGGGTTAATGACTCGCATTTCGACGTCTTGGGGGGATCTATAAAATATTTTTATATTAGTGTTGTAAATTATTTATAAACAAGTAAAGAAGTATAAGATCGGGCGAACCCGAACTTTATATACCCGGCGCACCTTTCAGAAACTGCATGATAAGCAAGAATATTTTTCCCGATGTCAATAAATTTCGATAATGTGCTATGGGATATTAAAATAATTGGAGCAAGTTTAATGGAAATCGATACATTCGATCTTCCACTGTGGTCGAAAGTGCTAATCGAACGAATTTTCTTTGGTATTATGGCGCTCATTCGATGAAGAATAGCACTATTGTGAACTGCGCTCGTTTATGTTGTTCACAATAGTATATTTTTCACCGCTGAGAAGCTTTTTTTTTACAAATCGAGCAAACTAAATAGTGTGCTTATACATATTTATGTAAATTTGTGCAAATTAAAATGAAATAAAAAAGAAAGCAAGTTTATAAAAACGTGGTAAAAATTAGTACAACGAAGTTCTGGGGTTCAGAACTGGCCAGGAGTAGTAAATGTTTAAGAGAGTTAAAGTGTAGCCTTTATAATATATTTTGACATAAAATATATTTAAGAAATTTGACTACAGATTTACTAAAAACTTCCGACTGTCTAAAGAGGCGTTTGTGAACCAAATCTATTTAAAATATTTTAAAACTATCCACAGCTCTATGATTTGTTCTCAGAAATTGTGACAACTGAGTATTGGGATTTTCTTTCACAAGTAAAAGCAGCCTTTCAAGCTTGTATTTTGTATTCACGACGTTAAAACTGCATGAAATTAATAAAAATTGTTTAAAATTAGTGTCTACCCGCCCAAAAGTAAAAAAACAATTGCGAAATCATACATTTTTCACAATTTTCTAACACTTCGCTACACCATCGAAAGCAAAATTATGTTCGACAGAAAATTCGATACTCAACGAAAATTTCGACACGGTTGCATAGCTCATAATACGAATTTCACTTTCGATCTTCGATAACCACCGAAGATCGAAAATCGAATGCAACCATAATAAGGGCTATTGTGTCTTGATAAGGGCCGGTTGTTCAGTGTCTGGTTATCACTACTTGCCGGATAAAGCAGTCGTTGTATTTAACCGGAGCTTCTACCTCCGATTTGTGCTAATCAGGCATTGAACAACCGGCCCTAAGAGATTGTTGTAAGTTGGCGTGTTGAGTTATTGAAATATCAGAATTTACGTATTTCTGAAATTTACTGTTATATGGCAGGTGCCGGTAATTTTAGTCCGATTTCAAAAATTTTCAACATATCGCTTGGTAGAAATTGATTAACCGGTTACCGAGATACACATATGTAGGCGTAAGTGGGCGGTGCCACGCCCATTATCCCATAACTTTCCCTAACTAGCATCTTCTGCTGAAAGGTCATTGAATATATATAGATTTTGAGTAAATTAGCTTAACTAGTTACCAATTTATCGCAGTTTCCGTATATCTGTAAATTACCGTTATATGGGAGGTGGGCGTGGTTCTTGTCTGATTTCAAAAATTTTCAAATGGTTTCTTAGTGAAGGGACTACAGAGATACAGCATTTCATCGTAAGTAGGTGGTGCCACGCCCATTTAAAAAAAAATCATAACTGTCTTATTTATTGCCAAACTTCTACTTCGCGTACCAACTTTCAATAATTTGGGTCCAGTATACACAGAATTACATATCGCACACCTAGATATAAAGTGCGATCAACTAAAAAAAATTTTGGACGATTTTTTTACATAAATAAATTTAAAGCACTAACGTCCAATTAATGGAAATATTTTTTTCTTGATGATTATATACATAAACGAAAAAAACTAGTGTTATATCTGTTTTTGTTTTGATTGCGTTGAATCTGTACGATCCACAAGCAGTTAAATTCCCCCTATGAATTTTGAGTAAGCTCACTTTAGAGGTGTGCGATATGTAGAAGTCGGTTGGTTTTTGATTTCTATGTAAAAATGGCATAGCAGTGCAAAGTATGCATAAAAGCTGGGTTATGCAAGACTTATGGTCTGATTATGGCAACTGAACGTAAGTTACGGCTCTCTCTTAAAAATTATGTTAAATGGGTGTTGCTTATAATTGAACAGCCCAAACTTAACGTAACTTAATGCCACGTCGAAATCTGTTTCATTTTGATTCCCCAAATTCTACGTTGCGTTAAGTTAAGTTGCCATATTCAGGCTTTTAGAGTTGACTTGACTTGCCTAGAAACTTAGAAACGATTACTATTCCTTTTTCTACTTATTTTGATCCTCAGCATTTGTATTTGTGCACGCACAAGTTAACACGTTTAATTTGATGGGGTAAAATTTAATAAAAATTACAATTGAAATAAATGTCTTCAAGCGTATCAAATTGTGATTGTTTTTATTTTATTTTCTGTGTTTATTTGAAGGTTTGCTTTTTGATTGCCATATGAATTGCATTTATACAAAAAATCAGATTTGTGTGGCATATTTAAAGGAATTTTATTAAAAACATGTGAAAAAAATGATGTGGCAGCATGATCATCTCACGGCTCTCTTTGCACTTAGAAATTTTACTTAAAAATTTAACTTAGAAATAAAAAATCTATAGTTCTCCGAGTTTCTAAGTGAAGTGTTGTTTTTTTTTACACGCGCTGCTCATTTGCCAGATATACAATTTTCAAGTCAAGTCAAGTCAAGGGCCGGTTGTTCAATGTCTGGTTATCCCAACATCCCAGTTAAACATCATTATCGACGATTTCCACATCATGCATATAACATGTGATCGATAAAGCAGTCGCTGTATTTAACCGGAGCTTCTACCTCCGATTAGTGCTAATCAGACATTGAACAACCGGCCCTAACTGCATAGCTTGCATAACAAGCTGAGCTTTAACATTCGCCACACACGACGAACATGCAGAGAACGTTTAAAACAGAGAAGCAGCAATTACGAATAGCCGTGTGAATTGTCAAACACTACCAAAATCGCTCTGGAAGCTCACCACTCGAATCGAAAATTGAGAGCGGAAAATTAACAGATCTGAGCGGCCAGTTAACAGAGCTGAGCGGAGATACAATTTTGTTAATTTGTATCAATGTTAAGTATTTTGGTTTGGATTTTCTTTTTCGCGGCATTGATTTAATAAAAAAAAAAAAGATTAAAATTCTTGGTTAAATTAATGAAAATTAATTTACTAAAACATATGCCAGGGAATGCTTTAACTCCAAAACGTAGATTTGTTATCTAATAAATATGTGAAAGCTATGCAGATATGCAAACTCATTGGTGATTTGCCGTCGGCATTTGGGTCGCAAAAATCGTTTTTTTTTTTGTTAACGATTCTTATTGTAGTTCCTGCGCTATTTTCAATGCAACAAACCCCAGTTTTC